TGAAAAATGTTATAGATTTCAAGTAAAAATTGAAGATAAAAAAAATATTGACCAAGATTTTCAAATACTTCTTTAGATAAAAAATATAAATATGATAAATAAATAAACTGAAAATCATTAAAATATATAGTATTTTTTTTAATTTTTATTTTTGGTCCGTAAGCATGTGCAAGTATAATTTTTTATAGATATAATTAGTTGTATTATTTAAGTGTTGATTAATTATTTTATACATAAAGTAAATCTTATGATTTTATACATATACAATTTTAATGTTTAACAACAATCACACAAATATTTTATATTTGTATTTTTTTAAAACTTTTTTTTTCTATTGTTTACAGTAACATATAATTGCAAATTTAAAAGTTATATTAAATAATAATTAAATTTTTATACTATGTTTTTAATATTATCTATAATATACTTTCTTTTCCCCCTTACACAATATAATCTTGCCAATATATATATTTTAAGTATACATTTTTCCTTGATCTATTGCTACTTAAACCAAAATAGATTGTACCATTTTTACTTATCCTAAGAGCGGGTAGATGGTTGGTCCGCACATTCGCGAGTACCAACCACCTCGCTGCTCTTAGGACATTTAGAGATTTTTTATATAAAAAAATATAATTTGACTAATAACTAAAATTAAAATTACATTGTAATCGAGGTTAACAAAATGTATGCACGACAAGTTTGCATGCGACTTTGAATTTTACATAATTAATATTTATATCTACATGCATGTTTGTAAAAAAAAACTAAGGCGTTTACGTGTTAAATGAAAATAACAAAGTATATGTTTTGTAATATATATTTTTATAATGTATGATTGATTTTTTTAAAACAATAATATATTTATTTATGCATATAGGTATGAGTTAGAAGTAAACGAATTGTAATATTTAGGTGTTGATTAGTTTTTCTGATATTTTTCGTAAACGTTATGTTTTTACAGGATGCAGTTTTTGAAGTTTAACAACAATCACGAAAATCGTTTCTATCATTTTGTATTTAATAAAAAAAAATTGTTTTCAGCATTTTATGATATATGGTTTCGCAATAAAAAATATAATCAAAATTTATTATACAATTTGTGAATTCATATTATATAAAATTTTCCGGTAGCTCTCCGTTAATCTCTTCGTCAAAATTTTTATAGCCTGCAATCTCTCACCTTCACAAACTCTCCATAACTGCATTAAACTAGTCGAATATAAATTTATATGTGTATAATTTAAGATGTAAAATAGTATATTTAATATTTGACTGTAGTATTCAAAATTAAGAGTTCTTCTATTCCTAACTTTGATATATGTGTTAATATAAAATATAATAGATCAGAACATATAAAAAACATGATTCGTGAAATATTTTTTTAATATGTTGGAAAACTATATGCATGAAATAATTAATATATGTAAGATATATTTTAAAAAATTTCAAAATTATCCTTTTTTTTGTAGGGGTTATTGGTTCTTGTATTTTGGTGGATTTATAAATCTTCTTTGAATTTGATAAATTTATTGATTTCAAAATCAACAAAATATAAAAAAATCAAATCCACTCAAATACCAAGGCTAGACCTTGTATTTGGGTCTTTGTATTTTAGTCATGAAAATCCTTCCAAATCCATTCAAATTCAATTAAAACTCAAATCCTTATAATATTTAGATTCTAAAATGATAGAACTAATAACACTGTATTTAATTATGGATTTTGAAATCATAGAACCAATAACACTGTATTTCAATATAAATTTTAAAATACAAGAACCAATAACACTGAATTTGGTTTGGATTCTCGAATCCATTAAAATACAAGAACCAATAACACCTCTTTTATCTTTTTGACTCATATTTTTTTTCTTAACCTTGAATACTATATTAAACATTAAGATCATATTCAATGTATCTTTTTATTTTTTTCCTCTAAGATATTAGTAGATTTCTCTCCAACTTAGTTTATTTTGCAGGAAACAAAAAGATTATTATTTTTTCTCCAATTATAGAGGAAAAAAATAACATCTCTATTTTTTCTCTAAATTAGAAAATTTAAAATAAAGGTGGGCGGAAGATTTTTTTAAACCAAAGATATAGCCCGAGTATTTTACAGAAAACCAAAATCGTAGAGATTCCTTTTTAACTTTTACTTCTACTTCTTTTTCACTAAAAGAATACTTATGATTTATTTTTTATCCATTTATTTTTTGTTTTATTTATAATTTCAAATTGTTGGTATGTAATGAGAATGCATTTCACATATAATATAATTTTTTTTTCTTATTTGAAAATGAAATTTATTAAGTTTTAACTTAACCAATCAAAATATTTTATTTATTTTATGAAATTTGTCATGTCATATTTGCAGGTCATCATTAATTTACACTAACTTTTTTTTAGTTGCGACACATCAGCTTTTTTCATTAAAACCTGGTTGTCAAATAATATATAAGATTAGGCATACTCAGGACAACTTAATAAAAAGTTCACTTGCTTATTAACACTTTAATAAAATACTCAATATTATTAATATGTATGAGGAATGTATATCCATATTAAGATCAAAACGTCTTAAAAAGTGTTTAGTTTCTTATTAGGCTTAGAGCCACTTTAACAAAAAAAGATGCCGGAAATGGTGGTTCGTGGACTAAAAAGGTATTAGGTGAGTTCACTTTTGAAACAAAAATTTGTTAGATCCAAATCCATAAGCACATATTGATTTGGTTTCTTTTTCATTACGTTTTTACTTTCTATCATAGATCCGACCCATAACAAGATCAGGGCCGGTCCATAGACTAAGCCACCCAAGCAAAGGATTGAGACAACAATATTTCAAGTGCATCATTTTAAAATATGTTCATTATTAGGATTAGTTACTTAGAGATATATTCTTTAAATATATTATTTATTAGGATTAGTTCTCTATTAATGTGAATATATAAATAAAATTTTAATTTTCTTATAATAGTAATGTTTATTAGCAATTTTATGGGGTTTTATTAAATAAATTCCGAAAATGAAAGATTGTTATATAAACATGAGTATCAATACAAAATATTAATACCAGAAAAAAATGGAGGAATCTTATACAAACACCTAAATTACTTGTTGCATTTATCGACTATTTTGGTATTGGTTCTCACTATTGAAAGAAGTTTTTTTAAAACTGAACCTAATAAAAAAAATTATTTGTGATGTGCGGTATCAAAAAAGAAACTGAATGAATTAGTTTGTTATTGATTAAGATAAGTATGATTAAAAAACTTGATTATGTGAGTTTAATCAATAATTTTGCAAGAAAAAAATGTAAATAATACTATTTGTTTTTGTCAACATAATTCTTTTTACTGTTTTTATTTTATTTTTTATTAATCATTTATGAATTAAGATTGTTTGTTTAGAATGAAGTTTTAACTATAGTTTTTTTTTCTTTTTTAGTTTTCATAATATAAAATACAAGATATGAAAATGCATATATTTAAATTTGCATAGAGCATAAAAATTCATTGGACCGGCACTGAACAAGATATCCGAATATGACTAGGAGTCTAGGAGATGTGAAAAAATTAACAACTTGTTGTGTTTACCAAAAGAGGAGGGAGGCTTAGGTCTGAGAAACTTTGTTATCGGGAATAAAACCCTCTCTCTTCGTCTTGTTTGGCTTCTATACACAAACAATTCCTTGTTATGGGTGCAATGGATCAAGGTGCACAAATTGAAAGACGAAAGCTTCTGGAGTATTGATGGGAACAAGCATACATTTTGGACTTGGAAATCGCTATTGAACCTTAAACCTCTTGCGTCCAAATTTATAAGACATTAAATAGGAAATGGCGAGACTACAAGTTTTTGGCATGACTATTGGACATTTTTGGGACCACTGATTCAGCTATTCAGACCAACTGGACCAAGGAAAATTGGTATCCTTCTGAATGCTACAATGGCATCGGCTTGTACGCTCGCAGATTGGCGGCTGCGGGCTGCTCACTCTGAAGAGGCAGTGCAGTTCCAGACGCATCTGACAACTCTTTTGCTCCCTTCATTGTCGATTACTCCAGACTCGTGTTGTTGGTTTGTAAATGGCAACGAATTTAGCAATTACTCGGCCAAGCAGACTTAGGATTATATGTGACCTGATACTCCGTTTCAGTCTTGGATGCGAAATATTTGGTTCCAAGGAGCAATTCTGTGTCATGCTTTCACGATGTGGACTGCTTATTTAGACTGACTTCCTACAAGAGATCGTCTGGTTTCTTGGGGCTTACAGATTGAAAACAAATGCTGTTTGTGTAACACCTATACAGAGACACGTGACCACTTGTTTCTCCGTTGTGTAGTAAGTGAGAAGATTGGGATATCAGCCATTCTCTTTCCACAATTGAATGGCGTTTTCTTCTTGGTTGGGCTCTAGAGATAGCATCTGCCCGACCACCCTTAAAAGGCTAGTTTCTCAAGCTACAATCTATATGATATGAAGAGAAATAAACAACAGGCTTCACAACAACATCTCAGCCATGCCTCATACCATCTACAAGATCATTGCAGATGCTATTCTTAGCAAAAAGAAAAACAAGTGATTCGGTGACCTAATGCAAACGTGGCTCGCCTTTGATTAAGATCTTCTGTTTCTAGTATATTTAGTTAAAATATTTCCTTGTTTTTTTTTTTGTTTTTTTAGCAAGGAATTATCTGCTGGTTAATCTTTTTGTAATTACAAACCTGCTCATTTTAGTATTGAAATTCAAATACTTATAAAAAACAAAAAAAAAGCAACTTGTTGTTGTTGGTTCTGTTAAAGTCATGATCCATATTCCATCACATGGACTAGATAACATTAAGCCACAAAAGAAAGTGATAAAAAGAAAATAATATTTCTTTCACATAAGACCAATGAATCATTGATCTCCGAATTCCAGAAAGTTTTGCGGTTGGTGTGATTGTTTTTTTGAGAAAGGGGTCTTTAACTATGTGCTTGGTATGGAAGTTGAAACAATGTCGTTCCATATCTTTCCTTTCGAGTTTAAAAATTTGTTTTTGCTTTTATTTATGATTTGGTTCTCTTAAGATATAAGAGCACTTATTAAAAAAGACATGGTTTGAATTAAAAAAAATTATGCTTTGTGTGGAAGTTTAAACAATATCTTTCCTTTCGAGTTAAAAATTTGTTTTAAAAAAAAAATACTAAGAATCACTGATTACAAGCCCTGAGAAAAAGAATCACTGCTGATTAAAAGAACATAATTAAAATAAAAAGCCAATATTCAATTCAAATTTTCTAAAAAAAAATTCCTAGAAATTCAAAATTTTTAAACAGCAAGCTTAATCTTTGCTCTTCTTTCTTATTATTTACAAAATCCATATTAAAGTCTTTAAAATTCTCAACTAGGGATGTCAATTTGGGCCAAAGCCCGGAACGCGGCCCGCCCCTGAAAAATATCGAGTTTGGGCTTTGATATAAAAGCCCAAAAAAATCGGATTTTTTGGACAAAACCCATTCGGGCTAAGCTCATTTAGGCTTAAGCCCGATAGATCTCGGGCTTACCCGAAAAGCCCTGTATTTTATATTATAATTTAATTTAGAAATTTTTCTTAATAAATTATCTTCACAATTTTATAAAATTAATAAGTTATTAATTTTTTGTAATACTCTTTATTAATATAAAACTTTAATTTTTAGTTGTGTGCCTTCGTATAACATCAATGCTCAAACTAAAATAGTTTCAAGAAGCGTTTCTACCTTCATTCTGAAAATTCTCATCTTTATTCTGCCGTTTCTATTATTTACATTACTTATTTATTTAATTATATTTGATGTTAGAATTTATACGAATTTATAAGTTAAATTTTTACTTTCAAATTTGATAAAACTATATTGATGATTAACTTTAAAATTTTATTTATTTATTTAAAAAGCCTGAAAAGCCCGGAAAAATTTGATAACCCTGTTAGGGCCAGATCGGATTTCAAAATATAAACCCAATATATTATCGAGCCGCACTAAACCAAACTTAAATATAAGTAGACTTTATAAGTTTCGGGCCGGGTCGGGCCAGTCCATTTGACATACCTATTCTCAACAAATCTGCAATAACTTGCACTAGTAAGTTCGATAAGGAAACAAATAAAAGAAGATTTACAGTTACCAAAAAAAAAAAACAAATAAAAGAAGATTTTGTTGGGAGTTTTTAACATATAGTATTTCGGAAAAAAAGAAACTTTTTAGATATTAATGAGCATAAAACTTGGAGCTAGATTTTACAAAGACTTTAAAAAACCCCAACCCGTTGACTCTTCCCCATCCAACGGTTCGATTAGTATACTTACAAAGTTACGATGTTTCTTCCTACATCATATAGAAACCCCATAAGGGTGACTAAAATCTTCCTCACTGAAAAACCCATTTCCAAGTTTTCCGATTTCCACTGAACAAAGAGCAAAGAAAAAAGAAACCATGGATCCTCAGCAACGGCGAACAGAAACTGGTCCCCGTCCTCCAGTCGGAGAACCCGGCGGCGATGTGACTTCGATTTTCTTTGCCTTCGGTGTTTTCATTGCAATCGCCGCTTTGGTGTGTATCGTCTTTTTCTCGCTATTATAAGATTCAATGGTGTTTATACACACTTTGATCCTTTACTGAATCGGTCCTCTCATTAAAGTTAGCTACTTTCTTCCGATTTTGAGTTTACCCACAATCGCAATGTTGGAGCTTTGTAATCGTATCCCAAGTTGACTTAAAAAGACGACGACTTTATCATATTCTGATTTTGATCTTGCTTTGGGTTGCTTGGACTGATTCAAATGGAAATAGCAGGTCATGTTCCCTTCATCGTTGGTGCACCAAGTCCCTGAAGGTCACGTTGGAGCATATTGGAGAGGTGGTGCTCTTCTTAACATGATCACAGAGCCAGGTATTGGTTGCTCTACTCAATCCCTTTACTCAGTGTCATTCATAGTTTCGTTCTTCCCTTTTTTTTTTGATTTGAAAATTGCTTTTTAGGTTTCCATCTGAAGCTTCCTTTCATAACAAACTATGAGCCTGTTCAAGTTACTCTCCAAACAGATCAGGTAAGTTCTTATACTAATGAAAAAGCTTGGAGGTGTTAAGATTTGTTAGCTTCTTATTACTAAGTAGTTCTTCACTATGCCTTAGGTTAAGGATATACCTTGTGGTACCAAAGGAGGTGTCATGATTACCTTTGAGAAGATTGAGGTAAGACTCTTCTCGTAGCATTTCCACTGCTTAGAGTTTGTTGATCTTAATTACCTGAGTTGATTAGAGTGAAATGATGATTTTTAGGTTGTTAATCGTCTGCGTAAGGATTATGTCATTGACACTTTGCTCAACTATGGTGTGGACTATGATAACACATGGATATATGACAAGATTCATCATGAGATCAACCAGTTCTGCAGCTCTCACTCGCTTCAGCAAGTCTACATTGACATCTTTGACCAGGTACTTGAGTCAGCTTTAGTAAACTTTTATGGAAACATATAAACTTTGATCTCAAGGGTTTGGAAAGCTTATTGCAGTTTGACATTCAGTTAGAATATTGTGCTCATGTTATTGACAGTGAAGCTCATGTAATTGACAGTGAATAAATGCGTACTTAGGATAATGTTTACATTGTGTCTGGTATATGGACAATATACAATGGTTTTCGCTAATTCATTCATTCGATCAAATGTGTTTCAGATTGATGAACGAATGAAAGAGGCTCTTCAGGCTGATTGCACTCGCTATGCTCCAGGAATTGAAATTATTAGTGTGCGTGTCACAAAGCCTAAAATTCCAGAGAGTGTAAGGCGGAACTTTGAGCAAATGGAAGAGGAACGCACAAAGGTACACTCTTTTTGAATCTCCACTGATTTGCTCAGATTTCCAATTCTGTTGTAATGCATGATGAAGGGATGTAGGGATCTCTTTAGCAATACAGATCGGTTTAAGACTGCTTACACATTTTGAAAACTGTTGATTTTTTGTAAGGTCTTGATTGCTATTGAGAAACAAAGAGTTGCTGAGAAAGAGGCAGAGACAAAGAAGATAATGGCTATTAGTGAAGCCGAGAAGAACGCCAATGTTAGTATGATTCTGATGCAACAGAAGCTGACTGAGAAAGACAGTTCACGGAGAGAAGCAGATATCGAGAATCAGATGTACCTTGATCGTCAAAAGAGTCTTGCGGATGCAGATTACTACCGGTAATAGCCAATCTTTGTTCTCAATTGATTTATTAAAGAAAACAAAGAACATATAAAAACATAATGTTTCCTTTTGCTCTGATCAATGTCCCTAGTGTACTGAAAGAAGCTGAAGCAAACAAGTTGAAGCTCACTCCTGAATTTCTCGAGCTCAAATTCATCGATGCCATTGCACGTAACACCAAAATGTTCTTCGGAGACAAGGTTTTGCTCTGCTCTCTCTCATTTCTCTTATCTCTTATCTCTATGTTTCTGCTGTTCTGAAGAAGTATTTATCTTTAATGTGCAGGTACCTAACATGGTGTTGGATCAAAGGCTACTTGGGAACTTCCTCAACCATTCGACAAAAGACAAATCTAGTGATGGAAACTCGGAAACGGCCACTGATTCATAGACTGAAAATGTTTTACTCTCCACTCAAACCAAAACCTTGTTTTTATTATTGCATAACTTAGTAGCGAAATTTGGAATCTTCTGCTGTGGCTATGGTTTTTACTGCAACCTAGTTTCTTAATAAACATGTTTTTTTGTTCGAAAAGGAATCTCATTGAGACTAATGCTTATATGTGTATTACTTTAACCCATTTTATCAGATTCAAAGCTCCACAAAGTATCAAAGATGTGGTTACAGATATTCTCCATTTTAATAACATGTTTGCTCATTTGTCAAATTTAGACTGAAAGTCCAAACATATATGAGCTTTAATTTGGTTTTATTAGGCTGAAAATGCCAATGTGTCTCAAAGTCCTTTATTGACATAAATTTTGACATACACATGTAACCTTCTCCACACAACCATTACAACATACATGCAGTTAACAGAGACGATCTGGTTTAGATAAACCGGACAGGAGTCCAAAGCGGTGGGGATAACCGAGAAAAGAGAGTCTTTGTGTTGTAAGAAGCAGAAGCAGAAGCAAGAAGAAGAAAGAAGATACGATGTATGTTGTTGAGAGCAAAGCGGGAGCTATAGGATGTATGATACTTTCGCTATGTTGTTTGGGAAGTTGGCCAGCGATTTTGACTCTGTTGGAGAGAAGAGGTCGTCTTCCTCAACATACTTTTCTTGATTTCACAACCGCTAATCTCTTGGCCGCAATTGTGATCGCGTTTTCGCTCGGTGAGGTTGGAAAAAGCACGTTTCAAACACCCGACTTCACCACTCAGCTCCCCCAGGTTTGGTTTCCTCTTCTTTAGATTCCTTTATTCACATAGTCCACGCATTTTTATTTTCTTTTGCGTTTGCGTTTTTATTTATAGGACAATTGGCCGTCTGTATTATTCGCAGTCGTAGGCGGCGTGCTTCTAAGCGTTGGGAATTTAGCGACTCAATACGCTTTTGCGTTTGTCGGTTTATCAGTTACCGTAGTTATTACCGCAAGCATCACCGTTGTCATTGGTATGCTTCCTCTTTCACTATTTAAGGTCTCTATTGTTTCACATGCAATTTCCGCGTTTGCGTTTATGTGGTGAAATAAATTACAAAATCAAACTCTAATTTCTTTAATAATATAGCATTTATCAACTTTCACATAAAATATTATTTTTTTTTTGGGTGAGATGCAAACGTCAAACACAAACGGAAAAGATAACATTTTAATTTGTGTTTGTATTTGAGTCTTTGACGTTTTGTGTTTACAGTTAACAAATGTTCAAAGTTGTATCCATTAAATAAAATGTACACGAAACGTAAATGCAAAAAGACAATCATAAGTTGGAATCTCTATGAATCAAAGACTACTCTACTTATGTCTTTTTGGTTTTCTTGCGTGTCACGTTGAGTTTCATAGGTACGACGTTGAATTATTTCTTGGACGACAAGATTAACAAAGCCGAGATCCTTTTTCCCGGAGTTGGTTGCTTCTTGCTCGCTATTTTCCTCGGCGCTGCGATTCATTCCTCTAACGCAGCTGATATCAAGTCCTTACCTAGCGGGTATAAATCCGAGACACGGTAAGATGTTGCCTCCTTCCCCATTGCTCCATGTTATCAAAACCTGTCCTCTCTTAACAAAGGTCTAACCTTTTCACAGAGATTTCTACTCCATTAAAAAAGGTGAAGAAAACCCTGAAAAAGGTACAATATAGTTTAAAGTTTGGATCTTTTTGTGGATTTTTTGATCAAAGTTTTATAAGGAACGTTGCTCAAAGTTTGGATCTTTTGATGGAACTGTGTGATCTTATACTTTTGTTGTTACCCTTAACAGAGAAAACCGACGTCGAGTCTCAAGAGAAAGCAGCGGAGAAGGCTAAAGCAGGGACTGCAGGATTCCTTGTAGAGCTAGAGAACAAAAGAGCAATCAAGGTTCAATAACAATGACCAAAAGAGAGAAAAAAAAACATCCGAAACACCGAACTCAAAAGTTCGAAACTTTGTGTTTTGCAAAAAAGATTACATAGCAAAAGGAGAGTGTATCATTACTATCGGGTCATTGGCAGGTCTTTGGAAAGAGCATAATGATCGAACTGTTCATAACGCTCTTCGCCGGAATCTGCCTCTCTCTGTTCTCTCCTGCATTCGTTGTCTACACCGCCTTCTTCTACTTCTCGATCGCCGGTTTCCTCATCGCTCTGATTCTAAACCTAATCTTTCTTTACCGACCTATGGTGGGCTTAGCGAGATCATCGCTAAAGAAGTATGTAAACGACTCAAAAGGTAGAGGTTGGGCTGTTTTTGCTGGCTTCTTGTGTGGGTTTGGCAACGGTTTACAGTTCATGGGTGGCCAAGCCACTGGATATGCAGCTGCGGACTCTGTCCAAGTTAGTTTACACATTGATTGATTTTAGAACACTGATTTGAAGTTTCCTTTTTGTTTATTTTTGGGTATATGAGCTCTGTTTTTTTTTTTTTTTTTTTGGTGTTAGGCACTTCCTTTTGTAAGCACGTTTTGGGGGATAATTTTGTTTGGAGAGTATCGGAGATCGTCGAGGAGAACTTATGTGCTTTTGGTAAGCATGTTGGTCATGTTTATTGCGGCCGTTGCGATACTCATGGCGTCCTCCGGTCACCGGAAATGATTAGCTTTTCTTAGTTCTTCTGTTATATGCTTCACATGTGTATTGTAAGTTACTTAACATGTGCAATACGTATATACGGCCATATTGACCGTATTTTATAAGATAAAGTTTCATAATTTTTTTTTTTTTTGATAGTTTGTCTTCCCTCTTTACTTTGTTGAACTTTTCAAATGTGGAAAAATAAGGTTCGGTAGTTGTCCCTTTACAGAATTAAATCTTATCAGAAAAGTCAAAAAGGATTTAAAAAGTGGAATCTCGCAATAGAGATTCAATCAATTTGTATATTTGATTCTTTTCAAATGATATCTCCATAAAACTGAACCAATCTTCAGTATTCGCCAACATTCTCTGAACAAAAGATCTAAACGAGTTCGTTCATGTAGTGAAACTTTCTCTTGAACTTGTTTGCACAAGTGATATCTCCTCTGTTCTTACATAATCTAGCAAAGGTAGTGTCTTTTTCACCCACTTTTGAATTTTTAGTTCTAATTATCTTAAAAAAATCTCAATTTTTCTTGTCATGGATAATAGTTGTATGAACATCCAGACAGAACATCCACTTCGATGTCTGTAAAAATCCCATAATTTCAATTAGATAGACATGTACTTAAAAGTCAATAACTGAAACAGAGTATTAAGTTTCCATCAACATGAGAAACGATCAAGAAATCTTGTCTAGTTTCCGTTTCCCTGAATCCTTGGAACAATGATTGATGTCTCATGTGGATTCTTAATCTGCTCTTTAAGGATTAGAATCTTGTCTAGTTACTTTACACTGGTTTTGCCTCTAAAATCTGCTCTATCTTTTGTCTAAACCAAACATTTTTACTTTCAGGGCTGATCGTTTTTTTTGGTTATTGGCCGGAAAATAAAAATGTATCTGGTGGAGAGCAAAGGAGGTGCCATAGCTTGTATGCTATTAGCCTTACTATCTTTAGGGACTTGGCCAGCAATACTTACACTTTTAGAGAGACGTGGTCGTCTTCCTCAACACACTTATCTTGATTACTCCATCACAAACTTGTTGGCCGCCATTATTATAGCTTTCACCTTTGGTCAAATCGGATCTACAAAACCGGATAGCCCCAATTTCATCACTCAGCTTTCTCAAGTATAAACATTAAACCATTTTAGATCATATATGTAAGCAAAGAGAGGGTTATAACTTATATATATATATATATATATATATATTCTGTTGTTCATATTGCAGAATAATTGGCCATCTGTCATGTTTGCAATGGCGGGTGGGATCGTGCTTAGCCTCGGGAACCTAGCAACTCAATACGCGTGGGCTTTAGTAGGCTTATCGGTTACAGAAGTCATTAGCTCAAGCATCACTGTGGTTATAGGTTAGTTCATGGAGTTAATATAAACTATAGTCATGCATTTAACATGGTTTACTTTAATCATTCTTGTTTTCTCTAACTTTTCAGGCTCAACATTAAACTATTTCTTGGATGATAAAATCAATAGAGCTGAGATACTTTTCCCCGGTGTGGCCTGTTTCTTGATCGCTGTTTTTCTTGGATCAGCAGTTCATAGATCCAATGCAAACGATAACAAGGCTAAGCTAAGAGACTTTGAAATTGCTAATCAAGAGTAATCAAGATTTAATATTCTCTCATTTTTTTTCTTTTGTTCTAAACAATCTGTTTTCTTACTCATATACCAACCAATCTTGTCTCTTCAGAGCTTCAGGTCCATCTACTGAAACAGAGATCAAGTCAAGAAAAGACATAGAGAGTAATATTAGTGGTAGAATATCCACAAAACCTAAAGAAGGGACTGCAAGTTTTCTTATTGAGCTTGAGAACAAAAGAGCCATAAAGGTATAGAGAAAACTTCACTTAAATATTCGATTCCATACACTTTAAAAAGCTGCAATTTTTTTTTTTTTTTGCCTATCTTTCGAAATCGTAGGTATTCGGGAAAAGCAAGATAATCGGACTAGCGATCACTTTCTTCTCCGGTCTTTGCTTCTCCCTCTTCTCACCAGCGTTTAACTTAGCCACAAATGATCAGTGGCACACGTTGAAACAAAGTGTTCCAAAACTAGTCGTCTACACAGCATTTTTCTACTTCTCTGTTTCTTGCTTCATCATCGCGATGATACTCAACATCGGTTTACTCTATCACCCTGTTCTTGGTCTTCCAAAATCATCTTTTAAAGCTTACTTAAATGACTGGAATGGCCGTGGTTGGGCCTTACTAGCCGGTCTTCTCTGCGGTTTTGGTAACGGTCTTCAGTTTATGGGCGGTCAAGCCGCAGGTTACGCCGCTGCTGATTCTGTTCAGGTTTTACAAACCGCGATTTTTTCAAAAACAAGAATCAATCTTTTTTTTTTATATATATAATTATTTTTGTTGTGTGATGTCTCAGGCGCTTCCTCTTGTGAGTACGTTTTGGGGAGTGGTTTTATTTGGAGAGTACAGAAGATCGTCACGAAGAACTTATTCACTTCTTTTCAGTATGTTGTTTATGTTTGTTTCAGCTGTCGGAGTTCTCATGGCTTCCTCTGGTCACCGAAAGTAAATAAAATATGTAAATATGCCTTTTCCAAAGATGTATCTATCTTTTGACATGACTCAATGATGATTTGTTTGTGCACTGTGTTTTATTTTCATCCATACAACATATAAACATATTTTTATCATTGTGTTTCTTCACAAGTCAAGTCACATCCATATGAAAGTTAGAGTTAGGAGAGACTTGCTTCCAACCATTTGAAATTTTGCATCATACATTAATGATAAGCTTTGCATTATTTACCATCTACACTCATCTTTGTTCCAACCAAACCCCAAAAGCTGATTGCTAATATTTGTTATACCAAATTAATTGAACTCAACTATAACCAAACCAAACGAAGCCAAACAAATTATATCGAAATTCATGAAAAAAACCTTTAGCTTAGTAGTTCAAATACGTGCTAGACAAAGAAAATTGCAAATTTGAATAAAACCCAACAAAGTTAGGTTCTAGTTCGGTTTATCATACCGAAAACCACAAAAATTGAACCAAATAGAACCGGAAAATCGGAAAATTTCTCGTTTCTATAAATTCCACCAAAACGATCTCTCTCACTCACTCATCATCTTTCTTCAGCTCTTTAACATTTCCTTTTCTGTCTTCACTTATGGATTCCGAAATCGCTTTCGACAACTCTCCGGGGTATCGAGTCTACAAGAGTGGCCGCATCGAGCGACTCTTAGGGGAAACATTCGTCCCAGCGTCTCTAGACCCACTAAACGGCGTCGTTTCCAAGGACGCCGTCTATTCGCCAGAGAAAAACCTCTCCGTCCGCATATACCTCCCGGAGAAAGTCGTCGAAACAGATAAAAAGCTCCCAGTCCTCGTCTACTTCCACGGAGGTGGCTTCATCATCGAAACCGCCTTCTCGCCGACTTACCACACTTTCCTCACCTCGGCCGTCGCCGCCGCAGACTGCTTAGCGATCTCTGTGGACTACCGTCGTGCGCCGGAGTTTCCGATTCCAGTCCCTTACGAGGACTCATGGGACTCGCTCAAATGGGTGTTTTCTCATATCGATGGAACCGGACCGGAGAACTGGATAAACAAACACGGCGATTTCAGGAAAGTGTTCCTCGCCGGAGATAGCGCCGGCGCAAACATCGCGCATCACCTAGCGGTTCGAGCGAAGAAGGAGAAGCTGGACTCGCTGATCTCCGGGATCATCTTGGTTCATCCGTATTTCTGGGGGAAAACTCCGGTTGACGAGTTTGAGACGAGAGACGAGACGAGGAGGCAAAGGATCGAGAGGAGCTGGGGAGTCGCGAGCCCGAACAGCGAAGACGGAGTGGATGATCCGTGGATCAACGTGGTCGGGTCGGATCTATCCGGGTTGGGTTGCGGACGGGTTCTGGTGATGGTAGCCGGAGATGACGGGTTTGTGAGGCAAGGACTGTGTTACGCGGCGAAGCTGGAGAAGAGCGGGTGGGGAGGAGAAGTTGAGGTGATGGAGATTGAAGGTGAAGGCCATGTTCATCATTTGAGGATTCCTAACACTGATAATGCTCGTAGATTGGTGAAGAGATTTGCAGAGTTTCTTAACAAGTAAAAGATTATATATAAATAACGAATCAAATTGATGTGAATGAGTGAATCATTTAATAAAGGTTCTTGATTTTCTAAATTTAGGAAGTTTTTTCTATAACTGTTTAGGAAGATCTTTCTAAATTTAAGAAGGTCAAAGCATGATTCGTAGCTATTGATTTTTATTTTTGAAAGCATTCTAAGGCACAAGTTCGTGTTTTTTGAAAGCATATGTTTGCATTTGCATTAACACACAGTGACACACACACAAAAAAGTTCACATTTCTGTGAAAACATTCTCAGTTTTTGATTTCTGATATTGCGTGATTTTCCCAATAAATAAAATAAAGACAAGATTATGTAAGCCGTTGACTTACGAACTGGCAAAGGAATCTAATCTGAATCTCCCAACTCGAGAATTTGATCTGTTTTTTACAAAATTAAAAATAAATTGGCAAAGAGTTGTCTCTGTCTGGATCTGCCAGAAGAATCACAGCCACGAGCATATTCTATAAGCAAAGAAGTAAAACTAAAACTTGTAAAGTTCTTCTTTCTGTTCTTGTCGTCTCTCTCTCTTCTCTGCTCTTCCTCAAAGTTAAGGACTAAAGCTTCAAAAAGGTAATCTCTTCTTATTGGTTCTTTTGAAACCCAAAAGACTCTGCCTTCTTGTGTTGCCTTATGATTGTCAATTTTCAATTTTCCTGGGATCTTAATAGATTTTTGATAGAACTACAAACCCTCAGTTTGAACTTGTTCGATCTTTAATGTTTATGTTCACTCTCCGGAAACAACAGTGTTTTGCCTTAGGTCGAGGAAAAATTGATGAAATTTAGTGAAACAGAGTTTTGAGTTTCCTGTAGATCTTTCCTGTATCAGTATGTGTATTGTGTTATGTTCTTGGTACCTTCTTTGAACTCAACTAGCTTCGTCGATGATTAGAATACCGAAGAATCTTCTTTCTTTACTTTGATGCAGCGGTCTTTGGTAATTTCATAAGTATATGAACAGAGAGAAAGAGAGAGATGTACATGATTGAGAGCAAAGCCGGAGCAATCACTTGCATGCTCTTGGCTCTGCTCTTCTTAGGGACATGGCCAGCGATCATGACTCTAACCGAGAGACGCGGTCGACTTCCTCAACACACTTATCTTGACTACACAATCACAAACCTGTTAGCTGCAGTGATCATAGCGTTCACACTAGGCCAAATAGGTCCAAGCAGACCAAATTTCATCACACAGCTTTCTCAAGTCAGTTACATATCCATATATATATTACATACTTCTCATTCAAAATCTTGTTGTAAAGCGTTTTTATTTAATTTATTATTGCAGGATAATTGGCAATCTGTGATGTTTGCAATGGCTGGAGGAATAGTGCTTAGCCTTGGAAACTTAGCAACACAATATGCGTGGGCCTTTGTTGGTTTATCTGTCACTGAAGTCATCACTGCTAGTATCACCGTTGTTATAGGTAATACACTTCTTTCGTCAAACTTACTTTTTTAACTGATTCTTTCTTTCTTCATTCTCATGAACTCTTCTTTTTGTTTTTGCATAGGCACAACTTTGAACTATTTCTTGGATGATAGAATCAACAGAGCTGAGGTTCTTTTCCCCGGCGTGGCTTGTTTCTTGATCGCTGTTTGTTTCGGCTCTGCTGTTCATAAATCAAATGCAGATGATAACAAATTCAAACTCCAAGATTTCAAAAGGTTTGAAAAAGATTCACAAACTATAATTCTTGTTTTGGTTTTGGCACTAATCTTGGATCTTGTTTCAGTTTAGAGACTACTTCTTCCTTTCAAATAGAGACAAATCCTGGAAACAGCGGGTTATCGAAAGGGAAAGCGAAAGAAGGGACTGCAGCTTTTCTTATAGAGCTTGAGAAACAAAGAGCTATAAAGGTGAAACAGTATATTCACTTCCGTTACAGGATCATAAGGATATTAGTTTCTTGAATAAAAAATTCAAGATTTTGCACTTGGTAGGTCTTTGGGAAAAGCACAATAATTGGGCTGGCGATAACTTTCTTTGCCGGTATCTGTTTCTCTCTGTTCTCACCTGCATTCAACTTAGCGACAAACGACCAATGGCACACTTTGAAACATGGGGTTCCTAAACTCAATGTCTACACTGCTTTCTTCTACTTCTCAGTCTCTGCATTTGTACTTGCTATGATACTTAACATTAGGTTTCTCTATTGGCCAATACTTGGTCTCCCAAGATCTTCTTTCAAGGCTTACGTAAACGACTGGAACGGTCGAGGATGGTCTTTCTTGGCTGGATTTCTCTGTGGATTTGGTAATGGTCTTCAGTTTATGGGTGGTCAAGCTGCTGGCTATGCTGCTGCAGATGCTGTTCAGGTTTATTACAAGAGACTAGAAACTTGTTATTTGTTCAAATGATAAAAACACAAACAAAACATGTCTTTTACTTTGGTTTTGATGGGTTTCAGGCACTTCCACTTGTGAGCACGTTTTGGGGGATATTGCTGTTTGGAGAATACAGGAGATCATCTAAAAGAACATATATACTTCTGACAAGTATGCTGTTTATGTTCATAGTTGCTGTGGCGGTTCTTATGGCCTCCTCGGGACATAGAAAATGACTTGAAAAGGAAATTCACAGGAACATCTACAAGCTAAAAGGATCGCAATTTTTTTATAGTTGATAAAAACTTGTCAGATACCACAAGGAGGCCATCTTTTGAAACGGTTCTTGAGAGGATGAGGAAGAGCCTTGAAGAAAGAGTGAGTATAGTTCACTCATGGTTGCAACATGTTCACGCCTTTGGTTACAGTGTCAAATATTTTCTTTGCTGGTTTTCGTCTTATGGGTTTGGTTACAATCTGAATCGTGTCATTGTTTACACATCAGAGAAAGAAACAGTAGTTTATAGACAAACTAGCACCTGAAAAGTATTTAATACTGTAATTTTCTTTTTATTTGAACTGAATTTATATTTTTTTCTATGAAAATTCAGTTGTCGATGATAAAAAAAATATTCCTTTAAACACTATTGAATCTTTTATATTTACATATTCAGTAAAACTTTTAAAATTTTGAATCAATTAAAAATTAAAATCTAATAATGTTTTATATAACGTTTATACTTATAAACCACAAGTCAGTCTGATCCGTGTCCATTTTATTTTTAAATCAATTTTCATTTTTATTTTTTTATATAAAAATAACATTGTTTCATTTATTAAAATAAAATTAAAAAAACAAAATTTAAACTTCTTTCTAAATTAACTATCTACTATCTTCAACTTAACTTCCCCACATTCTAACTTAAACTTTTTTAAAAATTTTGAATCAATTAAAAATTAAAATCTAATAATATTTTATATGAAGATTGTAAAATAAAAGAAATGCTATATAACTTTACTTTCTCCATATAATTTAGATATTGAACATGTTTTCCTCTTCGTCACCTAACTTCTTCAAACACTTGATCTGATTGTCTTTCTGTGTCATCTTTGTAAAGAATCTAATGATCAAAGCATAATTAGGTCGACACCACTGCTTGAAGCAAGATTACATATGTTCAAACTAACACTTTCGTAGTTCCACTCCATCATAACAAAAAGAATTGCAGAAGTAGATTTCTGTATTACGTAAAACAGAACATAATGTTCTCTTAAAATAATAGATATACATATATATATATACTCACGTAAACAATTAGAAAAACAACAGGTAATTAAGTTTCATATGTTAGAATGTGGAGAAGTTAAATTGGAGATAGTGGGTAGTTAATTTAGAAAAAAGTTTAAGTTTTTTTTTTAATTTTATTTTAATAAATGAAACAATGTTATTTTTATATAAAAAAGTAAAAATGAAAATTGATTTAAAAATAAATAGACACGTGTCAGACTAACAATTGCCAACTGACTTTTGCTTTATAAGTATAAAGATTATGTTAAAGTAAGAAAAAAGATCATATAAGAAATGTAAAGAGTATTACAGAACTTCGAACCACCACCATTCTTAAAACTTTAACATATTAAAGGCATGTTACTGGTAATGCTGCTCTGTTATGTTTCACTAGAAGCAGGTCCGGCCCAAGGGGGATGGGCAGAGGTGCATCCGTTCAGGGGCTCAGACCAAATTTCAGACATTTAAAAGTCTATTTTCAAAAATATTGATCTAATAAAATATATTTTTAATCTAAATTATTATTTTTTATTGACAAAATCATTAGAAAAGAGCCCAAAAATTTTAGATTTTTGATATTAAAAGGCCTAAAATTTCAATTTTTGATATTGAAAAATCCAAAATTTCAATTTTTAATATTAAAGGGTCCAAAATTTTTTTTGCCCAAAAACTTTAAAATTCATTGGGCCAGGGCTGACTGGAAGATGATTATACTCTTTGAGCAACTTGCGCCAAACGCAAACAGAAGTTTATTATGATACTCTTTGAGCAACAAACAGTTCAAAAACACAAGTATGTTAGAAAATTTAAAACCTTCCTCTTGGAACTCTAAATTTCCTTGTATATACTTTAATCTCATAATCTTCATCTTGACAAAATTATTTAAATAATAATTAGAAACATCTACATCTCAAGTTGGAATTTCATATTGTCCCATCGGATGAGACCGGTCTTGGTGTACCGGGATCTCTATGGTTATTGTTTTTCCAAAAAAGATATATTAACTCAAGAGGTGGTTAGAGCACCTCCATCGATGATTCTAAAGATTTTTTTAAGAGTTTCTCAAAATAAAAATAATAAGAAACAATTGATTTATGTATAAAAATGGGACTGAACGTCTCTTAATCAGAATTGGTAAAAACCTCTTACCTGTCAATCTGTGGTTGAGTTTGCTTCTTTTAACAAAATAAAAAAAATAGCAATTTCTTCTCTTCTCTCTATCGATCTGATACGAACAAAGAGGTTTATGGATGAGATTGGAGAAAGAAGAAGAAGAACTCTTCAAACTCTCAGTTTCTTCACTTGATTAGTCGGTAAGCTCGAAAATAACAAAATCTAGAATATAGACACTTTCTTATGCTTTTGTGAATTGAATTTTTTTTCTTTGTTAATTTTAGCTTTCGTTGATTTAAAAATTATGTTAAAATCGATCTAGCACTTCCCATATTCTGGAATGTGTGATCTTGTGATGCTTTTTTTTTTAATGTGAAAGTATGCTTTTTTATATGGAATTTGATTCTAATTGATTAACTTTTGGTGGGATCATTGGAATTTATGTAGACCAGAACAACAAAAGAATAGTCCTTGCGTTACAGAGTGGTTTGAAGAGCGAGGTGACATGGGCATTGAACACGCTTACATTGCTCTCTTTCAAGGAGAAAGAGGATATTCGAAGAAACTTCACTCCTCTAGCGAAGATATTGGCTTGCTTGATGCTCTTTTCTTAATCGTAAGTTTGATTTAATTGTTTATCTGTTATGCTTTTTGTATTTCTGATTGAAGGTTTAGTGTGTGATTGTGCTTTTCCTCTCTGTTCTTGACACCAACATATGTTAAATTTTTGCAGATAGATAACTAGCGTGACATAGCTCTCCCAAAGGACCTGACAAGAGGAGCTAGGGTCATATCAGCATCTAGTAGCTCTTGGTAACACTCTTCTCATTAGAGTTTATTGCTTTTTACAGATGTGTTTTCTTGCAAATCACACAAATCATTTGCAGATTGTGGATCTGGCGTTGGGAAGATCACCAAGAATCTCCTGATACGGTACTTCAACGAGGTGAGTGTTTTTCTTCTTTGATTCACTAACTTGTGCTCTGTTCTTCTCTGTTTTATGCCAGGTTGATCTTCTTGAGACATGAAATCATTTGCAGATTGTGTACCTCAACGACTTTGTTTCTTCTCTTCAGCAAGAGATGTTTGCTGTGAGAATGTATGCTTTAGCGGTTGATATACCAACCAAACTCCATAATTTGATTGGTTTTGGTTTTAGTGAACAAAGGTGTTTTTTTTTTAATTCTTAATAACCCTTATTGGGTTCTACCATTGGAAGAGAAAAAAAACTAAAGTTTTTTATAAAGTTCTTAAAATAGGATAATAGAAAATTTATATTAAAAAATTTGTTAAGAACTCCAATTGGAGTTTCCAATTAAAGAAAAAAAACCAAAAGGTCATTACCAAAAAAAAGGAAAAAACAAAAGGTATATATTTTAATATGCTGATTTCATAAAGACCTAACCCTAATCATGTTTTCTTAACTAAAAAGATGTTTTCTAGATTCTGTTGAACCTTAATTTGCCAAACGATCTCCACTTTTGTTCTGACCACTATGAACTCCGATGTGGAGCCACCATCGCCACATCCTTCTCTTTTGTCGCTTCCGGATGAGATGGTTGTAAACTGCTGAGCACGCATATCGAAATCGTACTACCCGAAACTCTGCCTAGTCTGCGAAAGATTCGACGATCTCATCTATTCCGATGACCTCCGTCATGCACGATTACACTTGGGCACACAAGAAAACGCCCTTCATGTCGGCTTGAAGTTGCCCGATCACCGTCTTCCTTGCTGGTTCACCCTCTGGATAAAACCTGATCAAACCCTAACCAATGACATGGAGGAGAATAACAACTCCACAAGAAATACTTTGTTGGTTGGTATAGACTCTTCATATTCTCCTTTTGTACCAACGATGCTCAACAGTAGGGTTGGTTCCAAAGTCTACGATTTCGACGAATACAATCTTGAACCGACGTCATCCCCCATGTGGGTCTTTGATGTGTGGAGTTACGCGTGTTGTGAAGGACCTAGCATGACGGTGGCTCGAGAGAATCCGGTTGCGGGCATCCTCGATGGCAAAATATACGTGATGGGTGGCTGCAGCGGAGACGAGTCCGAGAATTGGGCTGAGGTTTTCGACACAAAGACTCAAACTTGGGAATCTTTACCTGACCCTGGCGCTGAGCTCCGCTTCTCTTTGATTAAGAGAGTGGAGGTGAGAAGGGGAAAGTTTTACGTTAGTAGCAGCGAGAAGGATTATTTTTATGATCCAAAAGAAAGTAGTTGGGGGAGTTGCATCAAATACACTAGAGATTGAGCGAAAGTGTGTGATAGAGAATGTTCGGTACCATTGTGTTAAAAAAGGTCGCTTGTCGTGGTATGACAGGAAGCGTAAAGAGTGGAAAGAGGTCAAAGGATTGGAGGTATTGAATAGAAATTGTGGTAATGGTGGTGTTACTGCAATAGCTAACTACAGTGGGAAACTCTTAATCTTGTGGGACAAGTCTGTTCGGCCAATGTTACAAAAAACAAAAAACAAAAAACAAAAAGAAAAAGTTTGTTCGGCCTGATGATGAGCCCCAAAGCAAAAACATTTGGTGTTGTGTGATTGCGCTTGAAAGACGCAATGGTGATGGGTAAGTGTGGGGAAACGTTGAGTGGTCTAGTGTTGTGCTTACTGTTCCCAGTTCATATGTTTTCTCGCGTTGTCAAGTGAGACCGGAATGATCAGTTGCTGTGTAACAAAGACAATTCTATTCATCGTTTTTGGCTTCAAGTTGCAAACTTTTGTTTCTTTTCTTGTTGTTGCTAAAATTAAACTTTTGTCTCTTCTCCTTTAAAATAGCTTCTTTCGTTGGTGCGCTTTCATAGTGGCAAGCAAGATCAAGTTAGTGGTAATACTCTGTTATGTTTCAAATACCCATAATATTTTTTTTATTGATTCCTCAGTTTGAAAACTGTGAAAAAACATTATAAGGGTAACTCATAGATCTATCAATCAAAAGTTTGAGAGGGGGAACACTTTCTTGTGCTTCAAGTTCAAGTATAACCCAAAACCACTATACAAAAATCCGCATTCAACACCTATATATATACATGTTGAAGTATAACACAAAACCAATATACAAAAAACTGTAAAATAATAAAAGCATATGAAACAAAAGGTCCCAAACAGAGCCAGCCATTACGCGGTAAGACGACAAATCTTCACACACTACATTTGTATACATTGACTATAAATTTTAAATTAACTCAAGGGATTAGTTATGCAATTAAAAGAAAACCTAAAGGTATATATATGCTGATTTCAACCTAAACCTAACCGTGTTTTCTTATGAAGATGGGACTAGAAGATGCACCGCAAACAAAATCTCTGTCTGGAGGCTGTTTTGATTACTTTACAAACTTTTTCACCCTAATTTACAAAAAGATCTCTACTCTTGCTCGGACCACTAATGTGGAACAGGCGTCGTTTTCGTCGCTTCCAGATGAAATGGTTGTAAACTGCTTAGCACGCATATCGAGATCGTACTACCCGAAACTCTGCCTAGTCTGCAAAAGATTCCGCACGCTCATCTACTCCGATGACCTCCATCATGCGCGATTTCACATGAGCACACAAGAAAGCGTCCTTTGTGTCTCCTTGAAGTTGCCCGACCATCGTCTTCCTTCCTGGTCCACCCTCTGGATCAAACCTGATCAAACCCTAACCAATGACATGGAAGATAACAGCGAGTCTACCGGAAATACTTTGTTGGTACGAGTACCCTCTTCACAATCTCCTTTTGTACCAATAGTGTTCGCCACTAGGGTTGATTCCAAATCCTACGCAGTAAGAGCATACAATTCTGCACCGACGTCGTCTCCCATTTTGGTCCGTAATGATAAGAGTTACGCTTACGCATGGCTTGAAGGACCTAGCATGAAGGTGGCTCGAGAGAATCCGGTTGCGGGCATCCTCGATGGCAAAATATACGTGATGGGTGGCTGCAGCGGAGACGAATCCGAGAATTGGGGTGAGGCTTTCGACACAAAGACTCAAACTTGGGAATCTTTACCTGACCCTGGCCCTGAGCTCCGCTTCTCTTTGATTAAGAGAGTGGAGGGGATAGAGGGAAAGGTTAGCGTTAGTAGCAGCGAGGAGAAAGATTATTTTTATGATCCGAAAGAAGGTAGATGGGGCGCTGAAGCATATTCACACGAGCTTGAGAGAAAGTGTGTGATAGAGAATGTTTTGTACTATTGTGGTCAAAATGGTCGTTTGTCGTGGTATGACTGGAAGCGTAAAGAGTGGAGAGAGGTATTGAATATCAATTGTGGTGGTGGTGGTATCGCAGTAGCTAACTATGGTGGGAAACTCTTAATCTTGTGGGACAAGTCTGGTCAGCCTGATGATGATGAGCGCCAAAGCAAGGACATTTGGTGTTGTGTGGTTGCGCTTGAAAGACGCAATGGTGGTGATGATGATGAGGTTCGGGGAAATGTTGAGTGGGCTAGTGTTGTGCTTACGGTTCCAAGTTCATACGTTTTCTTGCGTTGTGATGTGATACTGGTTTGATCCCATGCTTTTGTCTTGACCATTGCCAATGCCTTTTGGCCTAAAGTTGCAATCTTTTAGCTTCTTTTGGTTGGTTCCATTTTATATCACTATTGAATTAACATGCTCTATTTCATCACAAACCTACAAGTTTTAAGACCCACAAAATCAAATTAAGGGTGCTGATGTTTGAGGCTCATTCACCTATTCAAAGCAAGTCCACCAAAAACCTTTCAGCTTAGCATTAGCTTAAAGCTGTGACCTTTTTACCGAGGAGAACGATCTAAAAGAAGAATGATGAAGCCAAAAACTAAAACTTTAAAAGAAGACATTGTGGCGTACCTGTCCATCTAAAGACAAGCAAGATAATTCCAAAACCAGCTCCAAGAACTGGTCCATTACAAATTTTAATTAACTCAAGGGGCTAGTATTGCAATTAAAAGAAAATAAAAGGTATATGTATGCTGCTGATTTCATAATAGAACTAAACCTAACTGTGTTTTCATAGCGACGAAGATGGAACAAGAAGGAGCACCGCAAACAAAATCTCTGTCTCGAGTCTGGTTTGTTCTCAAGAATGCAACAAGATATTTACATCACTGTTTGCTAATTTGTTGCACCCTAATTTACAAAACCATCTCTACTTTTGCTCCGACCACTATAAATCCCGATGTGGAACACGGTCTGTTTTCGTCGCTTCCCGATGAAATAGTGCTAACTTGCTTAGCACGCATATCCATATCGTACTACCCAAAACTCTGCCAAGTCCAAAAGATTCCGCACTCTCATCATATCCCGTGAGCTCTACCTTGAGCGATTTCACTTGAAAACACACGAAAACGTCATTGATGTCTGCTTAATGTTGCCCGATCATCGTCTTCCCTCTTGGTTTGCCCTCTGGATCAAACCTGATCAAATCCCAGCCAATGACATGGAGGAGAATAACAAGTCCACCGGATAAACAAATACTTTGTTGGCAAGGATGTTCTTCACTAGGGCTGGATCCAAATCCATCACGCATCCTAGCATGAAGGTGGCTCGAGAATATCTGGTTCCGGGATTCCTCATGGGTCGCTGCAATTCAGATGAATCCACGAATCGGGTTGAGTTTTTCGACACAAAGACTCAAAGTAGACTGAGAGTTGCATTGAGTACATACCACGTTGAGACCACGTGTGTAATAGAGAATGTTACGTACTCTTGCGGTAAAAGAGGTCGCGTGTGGTATTATGACACAGAGCATGGAGAGTGGAGAGTGATCAAAGGCTTGGAGCTATTGAAGAAGAACTGTCGTCGTCGTGTTATTACATTAGCTGACTACGGTGGGAAAATATTAATCTTCTGGGACAGGTTTGTGCAGAATGATGATGAGCGCCAAAACAAGGACATTTGGTGTTGTGTGGTTGCGCTTGAAAGACGCAATGGTGGTGATGATGAAGTTTGGGGAAATGTTGAGTGGGCTAGTGTTGTGCTTACTGTTCCAAGTTCATACGATTTCTTTCGCTGTGAAGTGAGTCTGGTTTGATCATATATGCGTTTGTCTTGACCATTGCCAATGCCTTTTTGGCCTAAAGTTGCAAACTATTAGCTTCTTTCGTTAATTCGCTTTCATAGTGGTAAACAAAATCAAGTTACTGTTAATGCTCTGTTATATCACTTTATGGATTAAGCCTAAACTCAGTTTGAAACTGTGAATATCATTATTCATTAGTCGTTGATCTCAACAACTTGAATATGATTTTGTTTTAGTTAGAGAGACTCTGAGAATTTTGGGATGAAGACAATTGAACAAGATAGCAA